ACTTCGTTTAAAAGTAGACATGTCAAGCTTTCTATAGATATATCTCTCATGTGTGTGTCAAATATTCGCTGGGTTTCAGTTCATTTTACTGATGTGCGGAGAATGAGATGGCTAAAAGCACACCCCGTTTATTTTCTTTATTTTACAAAAGCACAATGTTTTGTTGATATCGTGAGTGAACACAAATAAAAGTAGACCCTTTACAGTATTACTCTAATATTTACGATCAAGTATGATGGAGCACTTTAAGTTATTTTCGCTGTTATCATTAAAATCTACAAGTGGTGGCGCCGACGAGGTTAAAAAAAAATTCAAAATCAAGCACTTTTCCGTTTTACTTAATCTGTCAGTGAATATTCCTGAATCCGAGCGCTGTGATTGATTTGGTGTGTTTTCTGCATGTGTTAGATTACTACACCCTGTTCGGCACCAGCTGTCACGGATGTGACTTCCCCATCGAAGCGGGCGATAAGTTCCTGGAGGCGCTGGGGTTCACCTGGCACGACACCTGCTTCGTCTGTACGGTACGGGAACGCTCGGCTTTACACAGTCTTTCAGAGCAACGAGGCGCTTGGGTGTGTTATAGTGAATACAGTGGCGTCAGAGTGATTATATTCACAATATAACACAACGTCAAGCCTCTGACTCCTTTGATTTGATTTGGAAATATATGAAAATAGTTCAGTAAAATCATTCCAGAAGTTTCAAGAACTAAATGTTCACACACTTAATAACCAGTGAATTTATGATTTTTCCAGTAGTTTGTAATTACAGGATAAGGTTATTGATTGATTGATTTTTTTTATTTACTTTATGTATTTACTATACTAACTTTATATATATATTTATTTATTTACGTATTTTATTCTTTACTTTGCTTACTTTATTTACTTGGTATTTATTCATTTCACTTATTTACTTTATTTATTTTCATAACTATTTAATCGCTTCTCATTATTTACTTATTTACTTATTTACTTATTTGCTTTATTTATTTACTAACTTTATATATATATATATATATATATATATATATTATTTACTTATTTTACTTTATTTACTTATTCACTTTAATTCAATTCGATACTTTTACTCACTTATTGTTTACTCATAAATAGCCATTTCTACCCAATAAAATGTATACATTTTGAGATATCTAGAATTTTTTTTTTATTAATTATAGAAATTCTCATGACTTTCACAAACTTATTGATTTTTCCATGACTTTTTCAGGTGAAGAAATCACAAATATATCCAAGGTTTTCCAAGACCCTGGGAAGCCTAATTTTTTAAAAATAAAAATGACATGAAAAGCATTCAAATAAAATAAGAAATATGATGTCTTTTGCTGTTTTTGCTCATTTTAATGTTTGTTTTGTCTAGCTGTGGCATGTAAACGAGGGTTAATAAAGTAATAAGCCCCAAGAAGCCGTGGTTTACAGTGAATTTATAACAGCTTCACGGGGCTTATTGCTTTTATAAAACGGTTATTCCATATACGTAGTAAGGTTTCACAAAATAAAACAGAGCAAATAAAGAGTAATGATATTAATAAAAACAGTATTCTTCCACCAAACAATGTAGCGCCTCAGAAACAGTTGTGGTTCCAACAAAGTGGTTGCCGAGCAACACACAGAAGTAAACAAAGGTGTATGTTTGTAGAGTAATTTACAACAGCTTCGAACGCGGCTCAGCCAATCAGAATCAAGCACCGGAACTCTCCCTTTTATAAAAGTGAAATCGCAATCAACCACCCCTTTAAAATGTATATCATTGATTGTAATTGTTTGGTTGCTGATGAGCACCTGCAGGTGAAGTATCGCACTCCTTCATGACTCCCGTCGTGTTTTCCTCTCTCTGGATCATCCCACTCCACTCCCAGCCACACACCTGCAGGTACAGAAGACAGAGGAACATCAAACTGATTGTGAAGAAGCTGAACATCATATAATGCTGAATGAACCGAGACGGACCTGCGGTGGGAGGAACCGGACCCACATAACGGACTGTTCCTCTCTCTCCATCACAGCTCATCCGTCTGCCCACAGCATCCTCCTGAGTCTTCATCAGACGACGAGGATGATGAGGATCTGTATCAATCGTTTATTTTCTTTATTTTACAAAAGCACAATGTTTTGTTGATATCGTGAGTGAACACAAATAAAAGTAGACCCTTTACAGTATTACTCTAATATTTACGATCAAGTATGATGGAGCACTTTAAGTTATTTTCGCTGTTATCATTAAAGTCTGCAAGTGGTGGCGCCGACGAGGTTAAAAAAAAATTCAAAATCAAGCACTTTTCCGTTTTACTTAATCTGTCAGTGAATATTCCTGAATCCGAGCGCTGTGATTGATTTGGTGTGTTTTCTGCATGTGTTAGATTACTACACCCTGTTCGGCACCAGCTGTCACGGATGTGACTTCCCCATCGAAGCGGGCGATAAGTTCCTGGAGGCGCTGGGGTTCACCTGGCACGACACCTGCTTCGTCTGTACGGTACGGGAACGCTCGGCTTTACACAGTCTTTCAGAGCAACGAGGCGCTTGGGTGTGTTATAGTGAATACAGTGGCGTCAGAGTGATTATATTCACAATATAACACAACGTCAAGCCTCTGACTCCTTTGATTTGATTTGGAAATATATGAAAATAGTTCAGTAAAATCATTCCAGAAGTTTCAAGAACTAAATGTTCACACACTTAATAACCAGTGAATTTATGATTTTTCCAGTAGTTTGTAATTACAGGATAAGGTTATTGATTGATTGATTTTTTTTATTTACTTTATGTATTTACTATACTAACTTTATATATATATTTATTTATTTACGTATTTTATTGCTTACTTTGCTTACTTTATTTACTTGGTATTTATTCATTTCACTTATTTACTTTATTTATTTTCATAACGCTTCTCATTATTTACTTATTTATTTGTTTGTTTAATTTATTTACTTATTTGCTTTATTTATTTACTAACTTTATATATATATATATATTATTTACTTTACTTATTTTACTTTGTTTATTTACTTATTCACTTTAATTCAATTCGATACTTTTACTCACTTATTGTTTACTCATAAATAGCCATTTCTACCCAATAAAATGTATACATTTTGAGATATCTAGAATTTTTTTTTTATTAATTATAGAAATTCTCATGACTTTCACAAACTTATTGATTTTTCCATGACTTTTTCAGGTGAAGAAATCACAAATATATCCAAGGTTTTCCAAGACCCTGGGAAGCCTAATTTTTTAAAAATAAAAATGACATGAAAAGCATTCAAATAAAATAAGAAATATGATGTCTTTTGCTGTTTTTGCTCATTTTAATGTTTGTTTTGTCTAGCTGTGGCATGTAAACGAGGGTTAATAAAGTAATAAGCCCCAAGAAGCCGTGGTTTACAGTGAATTTATAACAGCTTCACGGGGCTTATTGCTTTTATAAAACGGTTATTCCATATACGTAGTAAGGTTTCACAAAATAAAACAGAGCAAATAAAGAGTAATGATATTAATAAAAACAGTATTCTTCCACCAAACAATGTAGCGCCTCAGAAACAGTTGTGGTTCCAACAAAGTGGTTGCCGAGCAACACACAAACGTAAACAAAGGTGTATGTTTGTAGAGTAATTTACAACAGCTTCGAACGTGGCTCAGCCAATCAGAATCAAGCACCGGAACTCTCCGTTTTATAAGATGTGATTTTGATGATGTTCTGGTGTCTCTCTCTGGTCCTGTAGGTTTGCAGCACGAGTCTGGAGGGTCAGACCTTCTTCTCCAAGAAAGACAAGCCCTTGTGCAAGAAGCACGCTCACACCGTCCAGTTCTGAGTGAAAGTCAACGCCTTGCTGGTCATATTTCACTCTTGTGAGATTTATTTTAGTACATGAATTTAGTTTTTTCAAAGAGATTTATTTGCTTCGCTTTCCCTCAGAAACCTCATCATGAGATCAGGAACTGCGTTAATCATTGATCTGCCGACTAAATAAGGTTCAGTGTTGCATTGTGGGTGTTTTGTCTGTTTTTGAGCGAGTATATCATGCGATGCAGTGTTTTACTGAGATCTTTACCATGATTGAAAATAATTTTGACATGCGAAAGATATTTCGATTGTTATTTTCAGCATTACAGAAGTTCTTATTCTATTTTCCACGTGTATTTAAAGAGCCATTGACTCGGTGATAATATATTTTTCACACGCGTGAGATCAGTGTGTTGAAGCGTTTGGACGGCCGTCTCTCTCTCCTGCATCCCGCTGCAGTTTGACCAGCTCTCTTTATGCAGATATATTTTATATTTATTGAGGCGGGACGGAAGATTTTGGGGGCTTTCCATGTGTTTTACGGCACCGACAGCGTCAGTGCTTTCAGAACGGTGATATTTAATGTTATTTCTGTGCTCTTTTATTTGTGGAATGTCTGATCGTCTCCGTGCCTTTATTTCTATTAATATACAGAAATGTGTTTCATATTTAGGCCTAAAGTAATTCAGACTGTTTTCTAATCGTTAGCACTTGTTTTGAAGCTAAGAAGGGTTGGTGGTTCATGTGCGTCTTTATCTCTTTATCTGTTCTAATTTCCTGTAATTCACTTCTTTTTTCTGAGATGGGATGAAAAATAAAACACTGTTCTTAAAGTCTCATAGTGTGATTAAAATGCTTTCTTTATGCAACATGGCTCACAGCATCTATTGAAAACAGTGCTATTATTTCATTACTTGAAATGATATATATATATATATATATATATATATATATATATATATATATATCATGGCACCACACCACATGAGATTTATAAGATTTACAGTTTTATTTAATAAAATTAAGTAAGATTATGCCAAACTGTTTAAAAATAATTCTTATCAACTATTTTTTAAAATACTATAAAGATTTTATGATTCATTATAATACCATGCAGAAGAGAATTCTTTAAAAAACATTAAAAATCTTACTGTTCAAAAACTTTTGACTGTATAGTGTATATATATATATATATATATATATATATATATATATACATACTTGTGTGTGTGTGTGTATATTTATATACGTGTGTGTGTGTATATATATATATTTATATACCGGTACTTGTGTGTGTGTGTGTATATTTAAATACTTGTGTGTGTGTGTGTGCGCGCATATATACTTGTGTGTGCGTGTATATATTTATATACGTGTGTGTGTGTGTGTGTGCGCATATATACTTGTGTGTGCGTGTATATATTTATATACTTTTGTGTGTGTGCAAAGATGACTAATTTATAAAACAAAAATGACTATTTCAGCTAGTCATTTTTGTTTAAAGTTGAAGTACTAAAATAACTAAAACTAAATAAACTACAACTAAAAATAATAAAAACTATATTTAAATAAATAAATGAGAACAAAGCAATTGCTAAAACTAACTAAAATTAAACCAGAAAATGTATAGAAAAATATTTGAAATATAATATAGAATTATTCTATATTAATCTAGAAAAATCTAAAATCAGAGAATATAACAGTTTAAAATTTATTTCAGAATATTAACAAAACTATAATAGTTTCTTCATACAACATGGATCACAACATTTATTATTTGAAGTACATATATTAGTCTATTATTAACTTAAAAAAATTAATAAAAACTATATAAAATAATAAAAATGACAAAAACAACAAATTTACTAAAACTTAGAAAATATATAGAAAAAAAGTACAATCCAATATAAAAATAAAATCTAAAAATCAGAGAATATAACTTAAATATTCAAAAACTATAATAGCATTATCAGTGACTCTAAAATAACACCGCATCATGGGAAACACGTCACTACTGTAAATGCTTTAATAGTGAGTGTCATTGTGTATTTTGCGGGTCACCTGAGAGCGATCCTTCGGGCTCCAGATCCCAAACCATCACCACCACAAACACACAGCCTGCGCTCGCCTTTCATATGA